TAGATCTATACTTATTAATAATACTCTATAGCTATTACATTTTACGTTATTACGATATCGCTCTCTCTCTAAATTTTCTCGTTATATATTAATACAAATATTACTTATCTCTACTACTATTATTCTAGTTACTACCTCTATTCTGTATACGGCTGCGTATAGGTATGCGCATACCTTACGCTTTAGGCATACGCCTGTATTTCCTTTTAGTAATAAAGGCTTAATATTATTTCAATATTAGGGTAATTTTAGCCTAGTTTATCTACCCTTTGAACATACCTATACGCTTACGATAAGGCTCTCCCTCGAGTTATGCCTATACATATATGCTCGACTATGTCTATATACGTGATATATGCCAAAAAGATGTTAATACAACCTATATATATAGCTATCTCCGACCCTCTCTTAACTAGCGAGCTATCTCGTCGTATATCCGTAGCTGCGCCTGTAGATACTCCGCCTATAAACTAGCGATCTCTGCTAGTATTAGCGGATATATTGAGGTAGGTTATATAACCGGAGGCATTAAGGAAGGCATTGTCGCGGCCATTAGTATAGCTATTAGGGGCTGTATTGGCTGTCCTATCGGTAGCTGCATTAGCTATCCTATCGGTAGCTGCATTAGCTGTCCCATTAGGGGCTGCATTAGCTGTCCTATCGGTAGCTGCATTAGCTGTCCCATCGGTGGCTATATTAGCTGTCCTATCGGTAGCTATATTAGCTGTCCTATCGGTAGCTATATTAGCTATCCTATCGGTAGCTACATTAGCTGTCCTATCGGTAGCTGCATTAGCTGTCCTATCGGTAGCTGTATTAGCTGTCCTATCGGTAGCTATATTAGCTGTCCTATTAGTAGCTGTATTAGCGGCATTGTTAGTAGCTATATTAGCTGTCTAATTATCGGCTAGTTATAGCTAGGGACAATTCGGGTTTGATCTTAAAGTTGAATCCCGTCTCGAGACATATCTATAGGCGTACCTATAGGCGTTCCAATACGGCTAGGTCCTAATGTAGCGGTGTTAGTAACTAATCTCTAGTTTCCCCTTTCTCTAGGCGTAGGAACGCGTAAAGGTAGAGGTATACTTTCCGTACTCGCTCGCTTTCGTCGCCGGCTAGTAACCTCTAGTTTAGGATCCCGGATAGGGATTATATATAGGCGAATCCCGGGTAGTAGGCTTAGGCGTTGTAACGGTCGTAGGGCGGGCGTAGGGCTTAGACTTCCGGTTAGGCGTTGTAACGGTCGTAGATATAGCGGTAGGCTAGGCTCGATATCCTGTAATTGTAAACGTATTTCCTATTCTAGGAGGGTCCTCCGGGTAGGAATTGTTCTAACCTAAGCTCTAGCGGCGCGATACGCATTATTAACCCTAGTAGTACGCTTATCCTTACTGTTACTCCTATACTTATAGAGATTGCTAGAGGCCTGCTCTTAGTACGCTAGCCTTACAGCCTTTTCCTGTTTATATCTAGTCTTCTTTACAACTACGGCTATTAGTACGGGCATAAATCTGCTAATAGGTAGCTCTTACCTTGCTTCTATAGTGCCCTCTCGTGTCTAGACTAGATAGAGACATTTACTAACGTATGCTTTACGCGGTAGTCGGTCTAACCCTAGAACTAATCGACATCGCGTATATCTATAGTCGTAGCTCTAGAAATACCTATTATTAAAGGTAGGTCGGTTCCGAATAAGTATGACTTATATCCCGTCTGTTCGTTAGCATTTGTATCCGCCCGTCTGCTTCTGTATATGTCCTTATTTATAAGCGTACACTCGGGGTTAAGCGCGGCTGCAATAATATCGTTTTTCTTGTTCGTCGCCTAGTTACAGAGATCTTTGTTCCGGGACCCTGTATATATTAGCGAATGTCTATAGCTATATATATAGACGTACGTTAGAGGATGCCGATAATCGTATAGTACTCCTACCTACTCGGAGCGTCGATAAGGGATAGTATATCTTCTCGCTCTTTTGTAGTAACCCTACTACGCTATTTGCTTATAACCTTGTCTACGTTCCTAATAAAGTGTATACGACAGAGTATAAGTATATACTATAGGTAATACTCCGCCGTATAGAGGGGGTCGATTTCGTATAGGTAGAGACTAAGGCCTATAGGTTAGTATAGGTACGGGCATAGGCTAGGGCATAGATACTAGCATATTGGCACCCGAGCTAATCGACTGCGATATAGTGCTACCCGTCCGTATCCCCGTAGATATATACCTACCTATATCTGCCTATACCTACGATAGCCGCTAAGGTCGTAAATAGGCGCTTCTATACGAGATAATATATCCGATTAGTATTCTTCTCGTTACAGATAACCCGAGCCAAGGTAAAGACTATCTTGTTAGTAGGTATATAGCTATAGGTTAGCCTATATATACGCTTTCTATTCTAACCTAACTTAACCGCAAAGATAACCTCGTTTATATTAGATCCTGCGATACGTTTATAGGATATATCGACGTCGAATAACTAGAGAGACGTAAAGATCTCTGCTTGTTCCCTATAAAAGTATACTACTATCTATATACCTGCAGGGGAGATATATACGTCTTAGATGTATTGCTACTAAATTAGCGTATATTAGCATCTATAGCTATAGATAAGGACGTACAGTCTTCGGGTTAAGTTTCTGCTATTTGTATGCCTATTCTACTACGTTAATATCGCGAAGGTAACTATACTCCGTATACTTAAGCTTTACTATTATCGCGGTTAAGCGCGAAGTATTATTTAAAGCAATATAGAGCTTAGTAAGTAATAGTACCCCTTTTTCATTAAGGAACTGCTATAACATCGGATAGACCTAGAATCGGGCTAAGGACTACGTAAGCGGAAGTCTATAGGTATAGCTATATACATACCCGTTATTAGGTCCGGCGAAATACACTTCTTAATCAATTCCTTTAGCTCTTCCTCGATAAGAGTAGGGACTTTCGTCGGAGGGGGTAGTGTATGCGTATGTTTGCCCCGAGATACGATTATTATATAGGGCGTCCTTATAGGATCGCGCGGGACGATAAAATCGAACTTAACCTTACACTCTTGCGTAACGAGCTTACCCTACCCTTATAGGTAATCGACTTCTACGCGGTATTAGCTAATCTATGCCTATAGGTCTAGACGTACCTACGGCATATCGTATAAACTACCTTTGTCGGCTTAACAACCGTATAAACGTTAGTCGGACCTGCTAGTAGATTTTAGAAGAAGTCCTTAAGTATATCGATTAACTATTTCCCTTCTTTTAGAATAACTTAGCGGAAGCATAATAGTCGTAGGTATGTATAGTAGTTAGTATATACGAGTGAGTACTAGTAATAACTAGCTAGCGTCTATATAGTTAGCTATAGATATGCCTATATATATAACTAATTACTTATAGGCGTCTCTGCCTCCTCGTACGTTAAACTACAATCTTCGCGTTAATCGTCGTAGGCTTTTCTCGACCGGAATCTTGCTTGTACTATATACTAAAGCCTATGCCCGTAGGTTAGTACTCGGTAAACTATCCAACTACGGATATATATACGTATATAAGTTCTCTACCTAGTATTGCGTCTCTTCTCCTCTTAGTACGAATATCCTTACGAGCGGAGGTATAGAATTAACCCTCTAGTTTAGGTACTCGTCCGTAAGGCGATAGTACGTAGCGCCCTCCCGGAGATATAAGCAAGTATATTAATATATCTTAACACCGCTACAATTCTTCCGTACCCGAATATAGGATACGCTATTAAAGTACGACGCTTTAGTTTCCTTCGGGGAATAGGGCTGCCTTACCCTATATTGCATCTAATATATATTAGCATATATATAACAATATACACGCCTATATATACTCTATATTTAAGAACGGCCGGAATCTTTATAACGTTCTCTAGGATAAGATCGGTATAGTTATAGTAATCCGCAAGTAGAACGATATATATATAGCTATAGTTATAACTACTTAGGTATTCTAGTATCGTAGCAATATGTTTGATATGCTTAACAGAAAGCGGGGCATATATAGCATTTGTAATAAGGGTAGGCCCGGGTCGAGGAAGTAGCTAAGTCTTATTAGAAAGTATAGGCATACTATTAGCTATAGCTAAGCCTATAATATTGCTTTCTAGCTGTTTGTCTTCTATAGCCTCTAAGGCGATGCGATCTTCTTCCGCAAGTATTCCTAACGTAAAGACATTAGAGGCCTATATCTTAGTAAGCTAAAGGGTATATATATCTATATGCTTATATATACGCGCTCGTTAATAGACTCGGTATACGAGATAAGCTTATTAGAATATTCATATTTATAATCTTCCTATATATAGGGAAGAAAGGTTAATAGAGTCTCTATAGCTTTAGTCGGTGCTTTAGATAGTAGTTTTATTCGGTGCTCGTAATCTATATAGTCTAAGAAGCGGGCATTCGTATAGTAGAAGGAAAGGGAAGGGAAAGAATTAGTCGATTGGTAGGAAAGTAGATACGTAGGCGCTAATTTGCGGCTAACCATATACACGGTCACATATAGACTCGGCTATACGGACGTTGGTCAACTCCGCTTTTAGCGTGGTCAACCGCAGATTTCTCTGAGGCAAAGCTACGATTTTCCTTGCACCACGAAATGCTTCTCCACAGAGCCCACAACATTGCAATTCATGGAGAAATCATCGTTCAGACTCGTCATCTCGAATAAGGCAGTGCCTCTTCAAAGCTGAGTTTTAGCATTGATGTGGGCTACGCTACTGCACTCGCCAACCTTCTCCTGAGCGCCACGCGCTGCTGCCCCGGGTTTGGAGAGATCCGAATTCTGGGGTATTCTACTTAGTCAAACTTCCATCCTTGACACGCTGTCTCAGCCCAAGCCTTGAACCCTTGAGCTCTATCCTTGGACCGCTCAGCCGCTGCACCTAACGATCGCTGATGAGCTCCCGCGTGAGCTATCGCGTGAGAAGTCAGGAACACAACAATAGCCAGTTCTGACTCCTGACATCTCGGGCAGCTGTCCGCTCGACCGCACGCGAGTACGAGAGCAGTAGTGCTTCATCAGCAAGTAGACTATCACGCTACCATCGGACATTGAGCCCTCAAATAGTCGTTCCGGAAATCTTCAAGCAGAGTTCGCACTTGAAATGCCCGCCTTTCGCAGGGGATCGCAAAGGCGCTCAACAACAATCATTGTTACACCAGATCTTCTGCGCTCGACATCGACTAGGCATTTCTTGGATTAAGATTGAAAGTCGCGGGCTCAATTCTGGGTCCTGCTTCCACTCGTCCTCTTGGCTTTGCTGAGTGGACCGGCTGACAGGAAGACCGGGGCAGCAAGGATAGAACTAGCAAGCAGCCTCGTTACAGGCTGACAGCTGGGAGCTCTTGACCGCTCACTACTCTCACACGAATCGCGACGCAATCTCAGAGCATCATCTCAGTAACCGGCAGTCGCAGAGGCACAAGATGGATCCCCCAAAGTCAAACACAAGCACAGCCAACACCGGCATCTTTGCGGCCATTCGCCGACCATCGCTCGCATCAATTTTGAGCAGCGGGAGCGCATCCGAAAAAGCTGACGACAAGTCGAAGAGGACTCAGCCAAAACGCAATCCAGCGTCCGCAGATCAAATCTTTCAAGTCCTTCTGCTCTGACAGACGGATATGAGCGTTGTGAAAACAATGTTCGGTGCAGCAGCTGAAGTAAACGCCAATATTAGCAGGAAGATCCAGCCGAGAGCATACGAACGTCAATCACTCAGATGTATAAGATGGCAGCCACGCAAAAGCTGCACCATTCGGCTCGTATTCGAAAGCTCCAAACAGGCAAAACGAGCAATCGTCAACCCCCATTGAGCCTCTGATACCAACATTTCTCATACACCACCACTTCCCGTCCTGAAGACTCTTAATAAATTCCGGGATTCCAAAATTCTTCCTCACAATCCCAGGCGGATTTCCAGTCACCTCGACATTCATACTTAGATTCGCATACCCAACTTTCTCGTCCACATGACACGTGGTCCGAAGTTCGAGGCGAGACTTTGGGATTCTCGGCCGTGAGCGGTTTCAAGGACTCGAAATGCTCGCGAAAGTTGGCGCCTGAGTTCCGGCGGTGGATGGAGGTGGCCGCCTTCGCTGCGGAAGGCGATGTGTCGTGCGGACGAAGTCTTGTCTGAGAAGTCTCGGTCACGGATTGTGGTCATGGATATTTCGGCCACGGAGATCATGTAGTTTGCTATGTCTGTGCTGTGGTGAGAATGGGTTCAGATAGCAATGGCACATCAACAGTGTTTTACCATGCGCAGATGGCGTCCACCGCGTCTCTCGTTCCAGTTCATCCAACGCCAAGCCATGCTGCCGACTAGACAGTCTCTGCCGATTCCACGTCTTGATAGCACAGTCCGAGACGCCTTCAGATGACAAGTCACGACAAGACGAGCGTCTAACAAACTCCAGGATGCCATCATCGGGAGTCGGGACTACTTCCGATTAGAATACATCACGATACTCAACTCGCAGCAACGGGCCATATCTGAAAACTCCGCTTATGTTCGTCGACTCCACCTTGTCGATGCGAATGACGAGCCGGCAATGTGAGATATGCGCATTCATAGGACACCAGAATGGCAATGTCCTCGTGATGCGATTCGAGAAGCATCTCCGGTGCCGGGTGCCTCGGCCGTCGTGAGGGGAGTGATTCGTAGATACACACGTGAAAGACGACATCTCCATCTCTGGTCTCTCATCATCACTTTCTCTTGCATTGCCACTACCAATCTACTGCTGCTGCTGCTGCGGCGCTTTCTGTTTTCTCCTTTGTTTCAACCACATGTAATCCTCGATATCCATAGCCAAGTCCTATAGCCACTGAACGCACTCCCGCATCGGCCGCCGCATCCACCATGGCACGGACGCAATCCCTCCCACTTGTCCCGCTGCCACATTCGCTCGTCCTCCTCCCAGGCGTCACCTCTCGCGTGCCTCTACAGAACCGAGGAGACATCGCCGCCATTCTCGCACACCTCTACAGCAAAGCCGCCACACCGCGTCCAGAAGCCAGCAGTGTCACTGTCGGCTGCGTGCCGCTCAACAGCCAATACCTCAGTCCAGATGGCAAACGATTGCTTGAGGAAGGCCAAGACAAGAGGAAAGCACAGCAAGTCATCGAACTCGACCCTTCCTCTGCACGGAAGCCAGATCTCTTCCAATATGGCACGCTCGCACGCGTCACTGGTGTTCAGGGCAGGAGACCGGGAGAGTTGATGCTTGTCGTGGATGGAATCCAGAGATTCAAGGTCGAGAAGGTCACGAGGGAAAGACCATACTTTGAAGCCAATGTCCTTCTCTACGACGAGCCTCACGTGGCGGACAATGATGAGAAAGTACACACACTCTTCGCAAACCTCAAGCAGTTGAGTCGCGAATTGATCGCACTCATCAGACTTTCCGCACTGCTTCCTCGTGGACCACAGATGAATCTCAGTCCCATTCTCGCCAGGAGGTTGGAGTTGTACATTGTGAGGAAAGACGTGCAAGAGGCTGGCGTTTTGGCTGATTTCATGACCAATATCATCGATTGCACTCACGAGGACAAGTTGAGGATTCTATCCGCGACGGATATTGGAGAGAGATTGACAAGGATCACGGAGATTTTGCAGAGGCAGATCTCGACGATTCAGGGCAACAGTCGCATTCTCTCGGTGACTACGACGCCGAATGCTAGTCAGAGCGCGGTCATTGATTTGGATACGCTTAACAAGTTGAGGCAGGATCCGAGACTGAGGAAGCTTGGGAATGGACAAGGTCTGCCCGGTGGAATGGGTATGCCACCCGGGATGGGAGGTAATGGACAAGGACAGGATGATGAGGTGAACGAGATTGAGGAATTGAAGAAGAAGTTGGATGAAGCCGGTCTCAGTCCCGAGGCGCAGAAGGTCGCGGATCGGGAATTGAAGAGGTTGGCGAAGATGAACCCAGCTCAAGCGGAACATCAGGTTTGCAGGAACTATCTCGAGAATCTGGCCGAGATTCCTTGGACGAAGGTGACCGAGGACAATCTGGATGCTGCTACGATGCAAAAGGCGCGGAAGCAGCTTGATGATGATCACTTTGGTTTGGAAAAGATCAAGAAGAGATTGTTGGAATATCTGGCCGTGCTCAAGCTGAAGCAGGCTGTTAATTTGGATCTGGACAAGCAAATCGATGCTATTTCCAAGGCTGCTCAGCCTGTTGAGGAGCAAGCTCAAGAGGCGTCGACCATCAATGGCGAGGAAGATGTAGCGCCGTCTACTGCGCTTGTCAAGAAGGAGCCTGAGAAAGCACGAGAACAGTCCAGAGAGGAGATTGATTTACTCAAGCACAAGAAGATGGTCGACAAGAGTCCGATTCTGCTCTTGGTTGGTCCACCTGGTGTCGGTAAGACTTCTCTTGCCAAATCAGTAGCCACTGCGCTTGGTCGTAAATTCCACCGCATTTCGCTGGGTGGTGTTCGCGATGAAGCCGAGATTAGAGGTCATCGCAGGACGTATGTCGCGGCCATGCCTGGTCTCATCGTCAATGGACTCAAGAAGGTTGGCGTGGCAAATCCGGTGTTCCTACTGGACGAAATCGACAAGGTTGGCTCTGCTTCCATTCACGGCGACCCATCAGCTGCTATGCTTGAGGTCCTAGATCCTGAGCAGAACTCTACCTTCGTCGACCACTACGTCAACATTCCGATCGATCTGAGCAAGGTCCTCTTCATCGCCACAGCAAACACCCTGGATACCATTCCTCCTCCACTTCTTGACCGCATGGAGACCATTCAGCTCTCAGGTTATACCACGCTCGAGAAACGACAAATCGCCATTCGCCACCTCGTTCCCAAACAAATCCAAACCAATGGCCTCAAGCCAGAAAACGTCCTCATGAAAGACGAAGTCGTCGACAAGATCATCACCGCCTACACGCGCGAGTCCGGAGTGCGCAATCTCGAACGCGAAATCGGAAGCGTTTGCCGCTCCAAAGCCGTCCAATACGCCGAAGCGCGCGACACCAACACCTTACCCGCCTACACGCCTGTCGTCACAATCGAAGATCTCGAGGACATGCTCGGAATCGAAAGATTCGAAGAAGAACTCGCAGCTCGAACTTCTCAACCCGGCGTCGTAACGGGTCTCGTAGCCTATTCCTCAGGAACCCAAGGCAGCATCCTCTTCATCGAAATCGCAGACATGCCCGGCTCAGGCCGCGTCCAACTCACGGGCAAATTGGGAGACGTGCTGAAAGAATCCGTCGAAGTCGCATTATCGTGGGTGAAATCGCACGCTTACGAGTTAGCTCTCACCCACGACCCCAACGAAGACATAATGAAGTCTCGCTCCATCCACGTTCATTGTCCCTCTGGCGCTATTCCCAAAGACGGACCTTCCGCTGGTCTCGCCCACACTATCGCCCTCATATCTCTGTTCAGCGGTAAAAGCGTTCCTCCCACCATCGCTATGACGGGCGAAGTCGCGCTTCGAGGGAAGGTGATGCCTGTGGGCGGCATCAAAGAGAAATTGATCGGGGCGCTCAGAGCTGGTGTTAAGAAAGTTTTATTGCCAAATCAAAATCGGAAAGATGTTAAGGATTTGCCGCAGGAGGTTTTGGAGGGGTTGGAAATTGTGCATGTTGGGCATATTTGGGAGGCGCTTCCGCACATTTGGCCGGATGCTGAGTGGCCCGGGCAGAGGGGGTGGAGTGGATTGGAAGGGAGGTTGTAGATGGAGAGAAGAGAGGTTGTGACGAAGGAAGGAAGGGAGGGGGTTGTTACGTGTATATGATTGACATGTTCGGTTTTTACCTGTAGGTATTTTGAGCGTAGTATGATATTGTTTTCCTGTTGTGGTTGCCTTTTGGGGCACACGGTGCGATCTTTCCCCGAGGTGTGAGTGCACTTCCCTCCCAAATTTGCACGACCCTCACAACTCCTGACTGATTACAAAATGTTCTGGAAAACTTCGTACAGCTGGCTCATTACAAGCTCTTCCATAGAGAGAGCTACCGCCCCACGACTCAAGCTTTGCGACATTGCGGTTCGTTCCTGGGTATTTGAATGCTACCAGACGGACATCTTCCAGGCCATGTGGGCGCCAGTCAGACTTCAGCTTCCCCGTGGCCCGACCCAAAATCTCACTGCGCACTAAGATAACGACTTGATCTTCTGCTCTGCATGTATCAGCGAGAGTCCCTCAGATCTCACGAGGAAGCGGCAACAAAGCAAGCGCCTCCTTCCTGAGACAACCCCGAGAGATTGTAGATGCGCGAGTGAAGGCCGAGGTCAGACTCTCACATTCACAGGACCTTGAATTCCACCGCTTTCTACAGTACCAGCATTGTCTCTACTGCTATCGGGAGCTCCCCACAGGTGGTATCCCAAACTTCAAAGCCTTGTCTTATATGCTTACTACAAGATTTTCTACTTAAAAATGTTGACTCTTCCGCTTTGCTTCTCTTCCCTCTCTTCCCTCCAGACATCGCCTTCAGGAAGTTTTGATCTCTTTCGCGATCGATTCTTCCAAAGCACGCTCTGACTCCTGCTCTCTTGAATGCTGCAACAGTCTACTTCTTGCAAACCATCATTCCAACCCCGCAAAGAAGAACAGAAAGAAAGAGGCGCAAAAATGTCTCTCCCCAGCTACGAACAGACATTCCATGCCCTCTCACACACCCGCATGGACTGGCAAGGAGAAAGTGGCCTCACACACTGGATCCCTCCAGTTCCCAGCATCTTCTGCCCCAACCCCTTCCCCAGTCCCCTCCCCCACCCTCTTGACGGTGAAGGTCTCCAAGGCCAAATCGCCTTCCTCCCACGTCAAGAACAAATCCCCCATACCTCCATCATCCACCCACAACTCAATAAAGGTGCGTACTCCCACCCCTGCGTCATCCTCGCTACTTCCCCTTGCACTTCCTACGTCTTCTGCGCCCCCATCACATCATTCAACGGACAAGCTTTGCAAGAAAAAATGGCCCGTGCCACCGACAAATCCGCCCTTTGGCAATACCTCCAGATCCAACACTTTGGTGCTCAAAGAGACCCACCGAATGAGTTAGGTGAACTCCAACTCGTCGGCGAGCAGATGGCTAAACCTTCTTATGTGAATCTGAAGAATGGCTTTTGGATTGAATGGAGGTATCTGGGTAAGTTCAATCCCAGGGCCAATGGTCGTATTGCTCTGGCACCAGAGTCGTATCTGACTGCTACTTGGGCTTATGCCGTTGCCGAGCAGCATAGACAGCTCATCACCGCTTCTATTGCTTGCCCGGTTGCATGCACTCCAGCACGACCAGCTACCCCTCCGCTGTCTGTCGAAGAATCCCTTCAGCAGATTCCCTACATGGGCACAACCTACTACCCAATTCCGGCAGCCTATCCTCCTTCGCCTCCTCTAGAGGGTCTAAATGCTGCGGCTCCGGAGTTCAGTATGCCTACATGTACTGGGCTAGACCCGACTGCTGCGAACTTCACCTTTGAGTTCGTCCAGCCTGAAGTCCTCGTTCCCATCTACGCTCCAGTCCCTGTCCAAATGCCATGGATGGATGTCAACGCCTGGTCTTACTCCCAGCCTCCTGTAATGGCCATGTGAGGCGGCCCTCGATACTGCTAATCTATCCGTGTAGAAGACTTCAACCAAAAAAAAAAGAAAAAGCTAAAAAAAAAAATCATAAAATGACCACATCGGGTCGAAAATCTGAATGTGTCTCCCGCTTTCGCGCAGGAGAACGGCAAAAGATAAATCAAGCGGGTACTTGGAGAGAGGTAGGATGGGTGAGGCCATCCTATTTTTCTCTTCTTGTATTGGGGCTTTTGGAGTAGATAGAAATTTTTTTTTTGGGGATACCTACACTGACGTTCTAGGGAATTCGGAATTCAACATTTGTCTTTCTTCAGACGTCAGACTCGAGTCTGTTACTTACATTACCCATTCAACATGGGGAAATTTTTTCTTTTCCCCCTCGCTGCACGTTGGATCTGCACCTTCTCGTGGTGTGCGGTGTGAGTATCTCTGCTGGCTGGCCTCTGGCCTGCGGAGGGAAACTAAGACAGATCTACATCTAGAGATAGGGGGAAATTGGAGTGGGAAATGGGATCAACGAACATATATGTGAGTGAAGCTCGAGATGTCAACTGGGAGAAAATCTCTTCGACGCTTGAATGCAATGCTGGGTGATGGTCACGGTAATGAAGAAGTCATTGAAGCTGGAACATAGGGTACAAACTACGAATGCTCTTCCTTTAAACCCAATGCTCCACCTTGACGTGCTGATTCATTGCTCATTTCCCTCGCTACTATGCATATAATTCAATCAATCAACCAACTCAATCGCCACTCATCCGGCGGCGTCCAATCCGTAAATCCCGCATCTTCGCCGTCCCGATTCAGCAGATACTTGAACTTGGCCCAATGATCCAGAATGTATCTCGGCACATCTCGATTACCTTCGACTCTCGCATACCTCTCCCCAGCCCTGCCAAACAGATCCAGGCCTTTTCTCACACGTTCCAGCATCGTCTTTTCGTCCCGATTCTCGTCCGTATTGAGAGGCGTGTGGGAGAACGATGCCATTTTCATGCGCATTTCCTCGATCGTGGAGAAACAGGACGAACAGTGCCAGGCTGCGTCGGAGATTGAGGCTTTTTGGTACCAGCGGAGAAAGGCTGACCAGAATGGGATTATGCTGACGCCGCCTATGCCGTTTCGGAGGTGGGTTGGAGTTAGAGTCCCGCGGAGGCCGTGATATGTTGTGGCTTGTGGATGCGGCCATTCTTCACCTATGTGAAGCCATTGGAAGGAGTAGTAGTAGAATCTACTTTGTAGTGTGAGCCGATCGGGGAATTGGCAGTGTCGGAGAACGTTCAGTGTTTCTGGCTTTGGGATCTCATCCACATCGCTGACGAGTAGGACATCGCCTTCCTGTGCTTCTTTCTCAGAGTGTAACAGCGTTGGAAAGACGCTCTTGAACAAGGCGTCTCGGAAATAGTCTTCGTGGGCCCAGGTGGTTTTACCGAGCACTGGTCCAGGGTCGGTGACGACGTTGTGGATGATTTGGGGATGGAAATCGGAGAAGCGGGTCCAATTACCCTGGAGATAGAGAGGTTTGGGGGCGCCTGTGAAAGTTGTGGGAGCCTCGACTATCACAAAGTAGTCGACATACGGCGCCATTGTATTGAGGCGAATCTCTAGCCAGTCAAGTTCGTGGGAAAAGAGGAAGAGATCGTAGACTTTGCGGTGTGTAGCCGGTCCAGCCCGGTATGGAGTGAAGTCGCGTGTCTTGCATAGTGCCTCCAGCTCGGCTGCGGTTTTTGGAGCCTTTGGATGATGGGTCGGGATATGTGGTGGACCTGGTCTGCCCGGTCGACGAAATCCATGACCATTGAAGGTTAGAAAGAGGAGGAATAGTGAGATGGCTGTGAGTGTGACGAGGTACCCCCGCCGACCCAGGGCAAGAGAGGTGATCATGGTTGTAGTCTTCTCTGTCGTCTAGGCATTATCTTGTCCGCAGCCTTTCCACAGCTGGAAGTCACTCAGGCATGCAACATCTGGGTCTGGGTGGCAACCGGATAATGCCACTTGTTGAATATCGTCCAGCGCTTTGAGCCGATGTGGTATGGCCAAAGCTGTTCCTGATAGTCGCTGAAAGTCGTGAGGATTCAGCGCAACATCTTCGACGCTGGTCAAAGCACAGGAGCGAATACGACCGGCTAGCAGGTGAAGTGCGAAACCGGGTCAGCCATCTCGTGTTCTGAAAAGGTGCAACGAATCACAGGGGCAGCGTGCAAGGTTTAGGTTGCGGCTTCGTCGAACACTTGGCTGCGCCTTCCCGCTTGATGCCTGGCAAGAGCCAAGAGGGATCGAAAGGGGCAATCTTCTCGACTTCACCTCCACACCAGAACCGTTGATTTCTATAACTAAACGCATGCCCAACTGCAAGAATGCGTGTCTCTCAAAATCACATGCGTTAGTGGGACACATCATCTGGACGAGTCATCCCCCTCGAGGGCTGTTGCACCGCACTACCACTGCTGGCAACTCGGGTATTACATCAAGATTTGACGAAGCACGAGGCGAGCATGGCCTTTCTGCACAACGCTGTGTCAGTCTTTGTCGCAGAAATGGTCAGCATGAGCAACATACTCGCACCTCAATCAACGATGACTGCCTGCGTCCAGCCGTGCATCTTCTACCCACCAGCGGCCTCTGTCCATTGCAAGTTTTCAAGGCGAGAGACTTTGCACATGGCACCATGCTCGCTCCTTAGAACGAATCTGAGAAGTGTCCCTTGAGTCCAAGCCAATTTTGGATCTGAATGACAGTGCCATGCTGTATCAACGCGTCGCCGAAGGAGGGATGAATAGTAAGAGTAAAGTAGAGTTGTTGTGAGTTACCGCATTCAAAACGTTCTCTTGCACATAGTCGTGCTTCAGTCAACCTTGTCGTCAAAAAGGCGCTATCACACGCTCCGCGGTCTCCGAGATCGAGATGAGATGATGGGTCTTAGCCAAAGTATACCATTGCCGCAGTTCAACCTTCTGCAACTGGACATGAAGCACTATACATTTGATATGTTGCGCGTGTGCAGCATCACACTGCTCAAGCTGATGATAAGTAACCAGGTATGTTGTAACCAAATCTCTGTGCTACTTGCTGCAACAAGAAGAAGCCTCGTGCGTAGAGTCCCTGTCGAATGTTGAAACTTGAGCCATCTTGTTCGTCCATGGGTATAATGTCTTCTATGAGTATCTTCTCGTGGCTACGTGAGTCGGAGAAGGTAAAGATGATGGAAGAGCTCACCGCCGACAAATTGCTACACTGGGAGTCTTTTTCTCTTTTGATGGGAGCTGATCGTTCGCAAGTAGGAGAGGCTGCCGCATGAACTCGCGTTGTCGTTGTTGATATGACTGACGCGTACGATAGAACAGTCCCACGTGAGCCTCTGAGTGAGATGATGTTTGCTGTGGGTGGAGTCGTTCATGCATGCAAGTTCCAGATCCAGCCACCAGCCACCGTCTTGGCGAAGGTTGCGGCACGTCCCTTCTTTCGCCGTCGCCGTCTCATCAGCATCTGCAGGCATCTCACTTTCTCTTTCTTTCTCCCCAGGACATCAACATCCAAAGCGCACCACGAGGCGTCTTCCCTCATCTCAGCGCCAGCGCCGGCATCACTCAACTTGACGCGACATTGCCACTTTCCGACAGCCGCGCCTTGAACATCAAAACAAGGCTGACTTCCGCCAACCACGAGCGCGCGCACCTGCCAGCTTGCCTTCACACAGCCTCGTCGCTCTCAATCCGCGCATAACTGCCGGTTCACCAACTTCTTTTCCGACTCATCTTGCATTCTGCGACAGCGCTTACTCTTCAGCTACTCATCAAGCAAATTTATTTCTTCCGCCAACCACGCGCTCGACACCACTGCGCGCACCAAGGGAGAGCCACTTCAACAACAATCTCAACCCGCGCCAACCCGTCACCAACATCACACCACTATCATCAAAATGTCTGGACTCGACCGATCTCTCGACCAGATCATGAAGGACCGCCCGGCCTCCGAGAAGGGTCGACGCGGTCGCGGTCGCCTTCCAGGCCGAAAGGCCGCCGCCAAATCTAAGGCAGCTACCACCGCTGTCATTGCACCAGCTGGCGGCGTCCAGAAGAAGACCAAGGCTACCAAGCCAATCAAGACACCAAGCGCACCTGCAGCAATTGGTGATAGCAAGATTTCAGTTTCCAACCTTCCCGAGGACGTGACTGAGTCGATGATCAAGGTACGTTGACCGGACAGGCCATACGCTATAGGCTTTTGTGCCTCTTTTCGATCGTATCATATATGGACAACAACTATGCGGACTATGGGACAGCCTTTCGCCTACGATAACGACCAGAACCTGCGGGTTGGTAAGGTTATGGTCTCGGCTCCGTGGTTGGGTGCTTCATGAAGCAAAACCCAGCGCGTTCTGAGCGACGATAATCGGACATGCGTTTTGCGCAAAATCCTCGACAGCCGCCTGCCTGGCAAACAGCGCGCGCTTCGAGGTGCAAACGATCTCACATTGGCAGGATTCAGAGGGCAAGCAGCAAGTCACAACGCACGTGTGAAGAGCGCAAGGCGATAAGATGGATCATGGTCAACGCAGCTCGGCTGTCGTCCCGCGGCGCACCATCTGGACATCAGACTCAACAAGCTCAGTCTTTGGTTGATGACGCGCATGCTGCTGCAGCAGCTCGAATAGGAGAGGGGAAGATATGCCACCTAGCCCAAGGTGGATGATTTGACAATCGCGGGGAGTGCCATCACGACAGCTGCTTGCCCTCTTGATACCACCACTGCCGGACCAGAGCCGTCGGACTCGTCTGCCATTTTCCTTTCTCTGGTTGCAGCGCATTATATTCCCGGAGTGTGGCTTCGTAGACCGAGGCGCATGCACAGAAGACGACTAACACGGATTGTTCAGGAATACTTCAGCACTTCCGTTGCTCCAGTGAAGAGAGTCATCGTCAACTACGGACCAAATGGACGCAGTCGCGGCTCGGCGACCGTATTCTTTGGCAAGCCAACCGCCGCGCAGGAGGCTGTTAGACTCGATGGTACCAAGGTCGATGGACGCGCGATGCGAGTAAGTGTGCTGGCAGGCCGACACAACTGTTTGTCGTTGCTGATGAATTTGCAGGTCGAAGTCTTGCTGAGCGCTAACAGCGTTCCTGCCCCACAAGCACCAAAGCCACTCAAGGACCGTGTTTCGTAAGTGCTACTCAGCCTGGCTGCTTGCTTTCTACACAACTGACCGATCCCACAGTCAACCCAAGAACGCTGCCAAAGAGAAGAAGAAGGACGCGCCAAAGGCTGCAACGAATGGTGCCGCAGCCGGCAGCAAGGCTGGCAAGAAGAAGGCCAAGTCGGGTCGTGCAGGTCGACCCAAGCCAAAGACAACCGAAGAGCTGGACGCAGAAATGCAGGACTACTTCGGCAGCGGCGAAGCGGCGCCTGCCAACGGCACCGCCCAGCCAGCCGCTACCAATGGCGGCGACACTGGCATGGACGAGGTGTTGTAAAGGGGTAGAAGGCATCGACATGGGAATTGGCGCAGCGAGAGGTGCGTGGCGGCTGCGTACTATTCAATAGCTGCTACATTTCAGCGGTTTTTGACGACTGCTCTGCTTGAGCATTGTCACAGTACGACGACGAGGTTTTCTTAGCGGGTTTGCAGATGGGTTTACAGATTGAGAATGGTTTGAGATATCATGGAGTAGAATGGTTGTAAGCAAGAGCTTGGTCTGGGTCACAGGGTTCACAAATGGTCTCGGTTCACCTGGCACAGCACAGCGCCATCATCTATTCGAAGCAGGTGGTAGCGGGTGTTTCTCAGTCGACTAGGGCGCGCCCTGCATCATTTGTTGCCGCTCGAGGACCGGCTCTTTTCCATTCAGGTCAGGTCAGGTCCAGTGCAATCGCTTAGAAATTCTGGCACATCCACCACCTTATGCAGGCTTGGTAACGATCGACTCGCCGCCTAGCAGGTCAAGATGCCGAACATCCCGAAACATTGTCGAGCTTTCCCCGGAAGCTCTCGACGTACACCCTCCACCATGAACAACTTGCAGCAACGCGAACTGGTCGGCACAGCGAGGGCACTGCACCTTCTAGCCGCGCCTGCGGTGGTGGGTACACGGAGAGAGTCCACAATTCTTTCACTCGCGAGGAGCCACACCGAACGCCCGAAGTGTAGCAGCATACATCAACACAGCCCGCTCACATTGCTATACACCATCAAAGTGTTGGATGAAATGCACAGCACAGCACGTTCAGCATGATGTACTCGCGCAGGCTGCGTGGCTGCTTTGCGTTCAGAGCCTCGTTCGATCTAGACAAGACGTGAACCGTGATGTCGCTTCCTCACTGCGGGGCACTCGGTAGCCCCGCAAAGCATGCAAACATGAGCGCGAGCCATGTCACCGACATCGAATGAGAGCGCATCGCCGTTCACAGCTACCCGCATGCAGCCATCCTTGTGCGCGAATACTGGACCTCCACTCGTCCAAGTGGGGATCGCGGCTTCCCAATGTCCCATCCACAGCAAATAGCCAGAGCTTAATTCCAGGCCGAGACGGTCGAGCGACGCACGCACGACCGCGCTCCTGCTCCTGCCAGCCGCCCCTACTTCATGCCACTACTTAACCCCTCTGTCCCCCGCCAATTACGCACGCCTTCTCTGCTACACCTCAATCGCGGCGCGAACGAGAGTAACTGCCTGTTTTCATTTGACATACCCAGCATTAATCCACCATGTCTGACCTGTCCGTCCAACTCGAGACGCCGCACGCCGGCAAGTACACTCAGCCAACCGGACTGTCAGTGATCACAAATCAGCCTGCTTCTCGCCACTTGGGCTAACAGTCGTTCAGCTTCATCAACAATGAGTTCGTAAAGTCCGTCGAGGGCAAGACCTTCGAGGTCATCAACCCATCGACTGAGGAGGTCATCACCTCCGTCTACGAAGCCACCGAGAAGGATGTTGACATTGCCGTCGCCGCCGCCCGCAAGGCCTTCGAGGGCCCATGGAGGAAGGAGACCCCAGAGAACCGTGGCAAGCTCCTCCACCGCCTCGCCGACCTCTTCGAGAAGAACCTGGACCTCCTCGCATCCGTCGAGGCTCTCGACAACGGAAAGGCCGTCTCTATGGCCAAGGTCGACATCAGCATGTGCGCGGGCTGCCTGAGATACTACGCTGGCTGGGCCGACAAGATCGAGGGAAAGGTCGTTGACACCACCCCGGATACCTTCAACTACATCAAGAAGGAGCCAGTCGGCGTTTGCGGTCAGATCATCCCATGGAACTTCCCACTCCTCATGTGGGCCTGGAAGATTGGTCCGGCTGTCGCAGCTGGCTGCACAGTCGTCCTCAAGACTGCCGAGCAGACGCCCCTTGGAGGTCTCGTTGCCGCTACCCTCATCAAGGAGGCCGGCTTCCCACCAGGTGTGGTCAACATCATTTCTGGTTTCGGCAAGGTCGCTGGTGCCGCTCTCTCTTCACACATGGACGTCGACAAGGTTGCCTTCACTGGCTCCACCGTTGTCGGCCGAACCATCATGAAGGCTGCTGCTGGCTCCAACCTGAAGAAGGTCACTCTCGAGCTGGGTGGCAAGTCACCAAACATCGTCTTCGAGGACGCTGACATCGACAACGCCATCTCTTGGGCCAACTTCGGTATCTTCTTCAACCACGGACAGTGCTGCTGCGCTGGTTCGCGTATTTACGTCCAGGAGAGCATCTACGACAAGTTCATTCAGCGATTCAAGGAGCGCGCACAGAAGAACGTCGTTGGCGACCCATTCGCCAAGGACACCTTCCAGGGCCCACAAGTCTCCCAAGTCCAGTTTGACCGCATCATGAACTACATCAAGGCCGGCAAAGATGCTGGTGCCAACGTCGAAATCGGTGGCAACCGCAAGGGCGACAAGGGTTACTTCATCGAGCCAACCATCTTCTCCAACGTCACGGAAGACATGAAGATCATGCAAGAAGAGATCTTCGGCCCAGTCTGCTCCATCAGCAAGTTCAAGACCAAGGAGGAGGTCATCAAGATCGCCAACAGCACCACATACGGCCTCGCCGCCGCCGTGCACACAAAGAACCTCAACACCGCCATCGAGGTATCAAATGCCCTCAAGGCCGGTACCGTGTGGGTCAATACCTACAACACCCTCCACCACCAGCTTCCGTTTGGTGGTTACAAGGAGTCTGGTCTCGGCCGTGAGCTTGGCGAGAACGCTCTTGAGAACTACATCCAATACAAGACCGTCAGCATCAGACTTGGAGATGCTCTCTTCGGTTAAGCGCACTTGTACAGGGCGTCTTAGTTTCATGTAACTAGTTTTGATGAGGAAGTGAAGTATGTAAAAAGAGCCAAAAAGGTTTCCAAAACAGATATCTACCCATTCTCTCCCCATGCCACTTCTTTTCCCTTATCGGGCTAAAACAGGCAACTACCTTGGGCTCTGTCTGCAGGCCGGATCCTTTCCGCGTGCTTGTGTGTGTGTGTGTGTGTGTGTGTGTGCTGACATGGACTTCCCGGCACAAGAAGCAAGCTCAGGTATAGCTTCAGTCTAGGTAATTCTGTCCGCGTTTCAAGTGAGAGACAGCGCGCGCAACAAGAGAGCCTACTACTGAGTCTTACATGAAGCTATCTAGAACTCAAGATCTCTGTTACAGTCTGAGGGAGGATCACATGCCGAAGTGTGTGAGAGAGATTTACTGTATCTGGCTTCGTTGATCGCTACTGGTTGTTCGACACTCATTGCTCGTTGCTCATAATGGGTATATAATATCCCACAGCATACATATATTTTGCTCAAAGAGCATATCGTAAAAAGGTAAGTTAGGATTTTCTCATATCCTTAAATCTTCATTCATTCATTCTACAACTCCCCTCTTCTCCTTCTTCTTCTCTTCCTGTTCCTGTTCCTGCCCTTTATGTCTCACTCCAAACGTCTCCCCCGTCCCCAACCACACCCTTTCCTCCTCCGAACTCTCTCGTCCCAAACACTCGTTCCTGTGCGGAAACCTTCCGAACCTCTCCACAATTTCCCAATGTTTCCTCGCAGGCCCCACACTCATTTCCAAAGCCCGAATCCCCTCTCCATCATCCTCTTCTTTCGCAATTTCCAGATCTCGGGTGATGTGAGATAGGACTTGTTTTTGATCCGCGAGATTTTCGGAATGCATGAGTGGCATGTTGAGCCATTGGTTGTAGACTGGTCGGTTTTTGTAGTAGGGGTGGTTGAGGAGGTTTGGAGGGGCGTGCAAGCGGAGGGATAGGGCGAGACGGTCGTAGTGGGTGTAGACTAAGGAGAGATTTGGGGGTGTGCGGTAGATGTTTCGGGGGATTTGGTCGAGGAGGAGGATGAGGGATAGGAAAGTATCTGCGGCTTCTTTCTCGGTTTCGTGGGTTTGGAGTTCGGGGAGGAATGGTGAGGCGAGTTTTTGCGGGTCTGCGTCGGGTGGGAGGGAGAGGTGGGCGGGTGAAATGCTTTCTAAGGCGTGGGCGTAGTTGGAATGGCAGGCGCTGTCGATTTCTTTTGCTTCGGTTTCGCTTCGTCCGACGCCCCACCAGCGGCGGTTTGTTTCTTCGTTGGGGCACTTTGAGTCTGGAGGGAGGCCTTGGAACCAGAAGTCGCGGAGGTGTGTATAGAGGGTTGGATTGAAGATCTTGGGATCGAGAGTGAAGTTCTGTGGAGGGACGGCCATTTTTGTTGCCAAGTTTCGCGATGCTGCGATGTGTAGTGTGCTTAAAGCTCGCGGGAAGAGCCTGCGGTAGAGCATTGATAGTGAACGTGCGTGTGTAGGGAGTGAGTCGTACTTATGCTGCTCGATCAATAGCTTCGAGATCGAGATCGATGGTCCAGCCACACGACATCATAGGATCTCGCACGCGCTTTTACCGTTTCGATGAAGACCATATTGCTTAGTCAAGATGTATTGGCTAGACCGACCTATTCTGTCTTGCTGAGACGCTCCTAGAGGCCACCGACGAGTTGCCGATCTGGAGGGATGTTGATGTACGGGCGAAGACGCGATGGAGATTTGACGCGAGGTGAAGTCTTGGCGAGGTTGCTCGGCCGCGACATCGACCCGATCAGGACGAGATGCACCATTGTAGGAACAAGAAATATGTGACTTGACGCAGCTGAGATGCTGACGACTTCGCTGCGATGAACTTCGATCTATTGATACACAAAAACTTGCCCAGATCTGTCCGCACTGAGCACCATTCCGAAAGGTCGCTCAAGTAACGCGACATCTGTAATCACATCCAGATGCCCGCTCAATAGATTCTGAGCAGACATACGAATGGTCTCATACCTCGATGGCGGTCTGCTCGTCCCAGCCGCAAGAGCCCGCTTTGCTGCTGATGTGTTCGAAGCCACCTTGTTCGACTCAATGGGATTTCCAGCCTGGACACCACTTTCGGCCGGCTTTTCAGACAGGACACGTATGTCCATGCTCAAATTACTGAATGTATAGACCGGTTTGTCATCAGGACTTCCTCCATTGACAAGCCTGCAACCTTCAAGTCGCTCTGTGTCCCAGAAGCGCACTTTTCCATCCGGGCCGCCGCTGACGGCGAAAGGGTGTTGTGCTTCGGGGTCCTTGGAAGACGGTTGGACTCCGAACCAAGAGACGCTGCTTGCAAGAGGCAAGTGATTGTCTCTCAAGACATCAGCGCCTGTCACGCCAGCGATACGGCCTAGCAAACTCTCGGATCTTTCGTCTTCCAGATTGCGCAACTCGTAGTCTCTTAAGTGCAAACGTTCTTTGGCGTTAGGATGACTTGGGCGTATTACCTCATAGCACACTCCCTTTTCTGCGTCCCAGACTGTCATCTCACCAGGAGCAGTACCGCCCGTTATGCAGAACTGATTTCTCTTAGAAGACTTGCGCCTCGGATGCAGTTGTACTCTGGAGATTGGAGAAGGATTCGCAAACGTCCATGAGCGTATGCGAACGTGGAAGCGCATGTCCCAGAGATCGAGCACGCCGTGAGATGTTCCTACTAGAAGCCAGTCATGTCTTCTGCTCATGCAGAACGAGGTCGGAGCGCCGTGGCTAGCAGGGTTACGAAGCTCGAAAATGACCGACATGTATCGTAGATCAAGCGCCATAATCCGACCAAGATTAGTTGCGAGAACGAGTGTACTCGCAGATTCACCTCTGTAATGCTCACACCAAACACCGTACTCCACAGTCGGACTGGTCGTTGGTATTTGCCATTCACGGACGAGTCGTATCTTGCCATATCGATATGCTTTGTCGGATTCTGTGACTTCGACTTTGACGACATGTACCGTGCCATCGGAGCCTGTGCAAATGAAGGTGTGCGTCGCTTCCACAAAGCAGAGACTTGTGACTGTTGCGCCTGGGCCCAGCTTGTAAGTTGGCGAGAGCGATATGC